ACAAGCAATTCAACATAATGGCACACAGATTCCTGATGTATTAACTCATTGTTCATTTGAGATGATGCTTTTGATTTGATTTTGACTGACGGCGTTGGTGGCGGTGCAGAGGATCTCCACCAGGACGTCTTCATCTGTGCCCGCTCCCTTCATGGCCTTCCTCAGCTCCTTCACAGCGTAGATGACGGGCGGGTCCAGCATGGCGAGGATAGCCTTCTCAAAGCTCCCCGACAACTCGCTCTTCAACACATCCACTAACTCCTATCACAAAGACAAAGAAGTGAAATAACAGAAAGGACCAGAAACAGAGGAGAAATGCTGATTTTCTGATATATTTCACATGAAAATGTGAAATGGTACAAGATAAAGGACATGCGGATAATATTCTGTGTTTCCTCACATCATCGTATTTATCAAAATAGGCCTGTTTAATTTCCTGACGCTGATATGAGCTGCGGTTTGCCAGGATGTCAATGATGGCCTGTTCATCAGTTCCTGAAGGGAAAACAACACAAAACACAATGATAAACAATGTCATTTGCAAGTAACACTTTACTACATTACAAGAATTAAAAAAACATCCATATATTCTTATGCTATACTTTCAATATTTCCACCTTACCAAAGCCTTTGCAGGCTTTCCGAATGGCCTTGATGTCTGCTACAACATCAAACTCCTCGTAGGGCACAATTGTGGGCTAAGAGAATAAAAGACAGATTGTTCTTTAGATGAAATACAAAGAATAAAAACAGCTGGTTCTATCAAACTGATCATTGTTTCAGTAAATGAAGTTCAGCGGGATCTGAGACAGGGATGCAGGAGCAGCTGGCAGATGGGGGAGGGGAGGACGATGACACAATGCTTTGGTTGAGGAATTCAGGGCCTTTAAACAAACTTGGTGGGGGCCGCGTGAATAACTGGCAGTGACCAAAGTGCAGTCCAGGGGCCAACAGGGGTCTGAGAGGCAGCCCAACAAGGGAACCACATCATCTGCAGCAATTAAAACTACTTAAATGCCACTTCTCTACTATAACAAGGTAAACATATAGCAAACTGTTTGACTCTTCACAGAATCAGATTCTATTTTCTGAATATGAAGTAGGATGTTATTTAAATTGTGAAGCACTTAAAAGTATTTTTAAGTAATTAATAATCAAAACGCAATAAAACAAGTTGTTGCTAGTTGAAAGCTTGTGTCACTGCTAATTTGTGAGGTAAAACAATAAATAAATGACCATAAATGTACCAAAAACACAGAATGCTGACAGAAATAGACACCCTTCCCCCATCTTTGCACATGCATGGACTCTACCCTTGCCTAATGTAAGAGCTCTACTCTTTCATCCACGCACACATCTAACGGAGCTGTGATGATCTCCGCAGGGGAGTGGCCGCTTCCTCTGCGTAAACCCAGACACGGCTGTCTGTCACACCGTGTCATTTGCGACGTTTTCACCCGGCTTCATTTAAAGAAACACCAAATATTAAGAATCTGAGACCAGCGCTCTAATTTTCAGTCAAAACAAGATTTGTTACGATTTAGGCCTACGTGATCTGCGCAACTACTGACGTCGATTAGAGACACTGCGTTGTTCGACCCATCACGCAAAAAATACGCAATAAATACAACATGTACTCAAGAAATGAAGCCCTTGCTCCCCTGAATCTGTTCCTCCTGGCGATTCCCTGGATCAAAATCCTCAACATGAAACTCTAAAGCCCCCGAGCGAAGCCCAAACTGATTTACTATTTTTCTAAATTGTCTTTAAGAGATGGTACTTACTTGACAGTTGCCCATTTTTAAGGATGTTTATCCGACGACAGCTGGTGCTCTGTTGGAAAGAGTCGTAGTTTGGGATATATGAGTCCTCCTGAACAAACTGCGGCCCAAAGCAGCAGAAACCAGTACGTCACGTCACCACGGACCGCCACGCCGTCCCGTTAACCATTTACATCCACTGAGCCTGCACCGTACCGGAGCATTTCCATATCATGCCACTTTAAACTTCTGCTTCACTGCATTTCAAAGCGGAATAACGCACTTTTGTTACTTCGCTACATTTATTTCATTATTATTTCAGCTTTACTTACTTTTCAAACCATATAATATAAAAATACGATCAGCTTTTAAATCATGATGCATTAACAATCTCCCTCTTTCTAACATTTGATCTAATGGTGTCATCGTGGTGTAGCCTAACTTTTTGGTTTTTATTTAAAATAATAAAAAAAAAATACTATAAGTTTGTGGCCTACAGACTGGACATGCACAAAATGAACAAGTGGTTATTTGTTGCATTATGGGAATTGTAGGATCACGTGTGTTCGTGGGTTGGAGCCTCTTCTGTGGCTTGGACCAAAATCTGTCTATTCTGAGTGCAAAGCCTCGTATCAATTGTGATTTAAGTGAATAATTGTGTCCTAACCTCCTTTTCAATGGAAATAAAAATATTTTCTAAAATCTAAAATCAAGTTTAAAATTTAATTTAATGCAGCAACACGCTTTAAAAGTATCGTCTGTTTCAACTGTACAGTCAGTTCTTTAGACATAACCTGTTTCAGGAAAATAAAGTTTTACCACAAAATTATAGCCAGAATTGTCTTGAATGGTCCATTCTACAGTACTTTTAAAACTTTCAGTAAACATTTCTGAAATGTACTTTTGTCCTTTACTTTATTAACATCTTTAATGTATGACTTCTCCCTGTAATATGAGGTGGTGATAGTGCAGTGGATAAGACAAATTCCTTTGGTGTGAGCGACCCAGGTTCAATCCACCAATGTGTCCCTGAGCAAGACACTTAACCCCCTAGTTGCTCCAGATGTGTGCAATCGCTGACATATACAGCATTTTTAAGTTGCTTTGGATAAAAGCGTCAGCTACATGTAATGTAGAGTATTTTTGTATTATTACTTTTACTTATGTAAAGGATCTGTATACATCTGCCACCACTGTTTATAAAAGTGTGCAAGGTTTTAGGTTTTTCTGATTTATGAATTTTAACATTGCTTCTATAAAGTTTACAGCATAACTGTCAAAGCCATAGGCTATATTAAGAATACAGGTAAGGAATATAATAGTGATACATAACTCAGTGTAAAGGAGACACTACTGAGTCTAAACAGCATGGTGATTTGTGGTCCTTTTTTCAACCAGATGACTCAGGATGAACCTTTTAGGCATCCTTAAGCCCAATTTTACTTTACTTTGATTTTAGAGTCCTTCTTGCAACAGGGGGGATGTAATGCTGCTGACCATGACCTCTGACCTCCCTGCACATGGGGTGTGTTCTGCTGCTCTGATTTCTACTACTTAAACCGACTGCACAGCTGTTAAACTCCTCTTCCGTTGCAGTAACAAACCTTAATTCACAAAATGGTAATACAGCAGAGAGAAAAAATAGCTCTGTTGAAAAGTTTTACTGGACAATGTTTGCATGTGAAAAATGAACCAAAAGGTCGGTTCTCTAGAATTTAGTGTTCCACAGTTTAATTACCAACCATGCCAGCTTACGCTCTATAACCATTGGTATTTCAGTCCCTTATAACTGTCCCTACATCATAATTACCCAACCGCTGAGGAGGAAAGCTGCTGCTGCCCTCCACAATAAGGCCCTTAGCCTATGAAAGGTAAATACATGCACACTCTGCCGCCTGCCCGTCTGCATGAACTGTTCCAATTAAGAGCTCGCTGATGTCACACTAACAAAGCCATGCAATTAGACTGGGATGAGTCATCTCCACTTTATAATTATCTGAAAATTACCTGGAAGATCAATCAGGGAACGTTTTAAGACAAATAATTAAAATTATGCAAGCTGGTTATTCAGACAATGAACTGTAGCTGTTTCTAGTGCCCAACAGTATAATGAGCTAATTAGCAATTATTCTAACAAGATGTGAGTCACGTACAGTAACAACATATTTAGTATCTATCAGTAGGATTTAAATCACTATGAACATTTTTACTGACCTGTGTGGGCTGATGTAATCTCAAACTTTTCTGCAATATTTAGACCAGTCCTTTGCGGTGTGTGTCGTATATATTTAACGTCTCATTCTTAGCTGAAACTTTTAATTCAATTCTCAGTCACGCAGCTCAGTTGTTGAACAACTTGTCCTCTAATCACAGGGCCTCTGATTTGATTCTCAGCTCCTCCCCACAACCGAGCTGTAGACTTCAATCAGACTTAAATCACAGCAAATGAGCATTTAAAGGAACAGCTCAACAGTTCGGGGAACATGTTTATTCGCTTTCTTGCTGCGAGTTAACGATGAGAAGACTGATACTACTCTGATGCAGATGTTAGCTTAGCTTAGGCAGATTTTACCTTTGGACAATCTTCTCATCTAACTCCCGGCAAGAGAGCGAATAAGCCTATTTCCCATAATGTTCTTTTAAGATTTGACTTGAACTTTACTGCTGCAATACTGTACTTCCCAGCCATTATTTAAGGACATCATGTGGGCAATGCATCATCAAACAGATTGAATATTTATTAATTAGGTCTATAGATTTCAGAAACAATTGTTGATACCATTACGATCGTCTGCTTTTAGAGACTTGAAAGAGTGTACCTTGCTTATGAAGAGGGGTACTCCACCGATTCTATATAAATGTAGTTTACTTGTCCTGAGGAGTAGAATACTCAGCTTGTGAAAACTGTTGTATAATATCTTCTGTGTCTCTGGTGAAGCTTCCTAAAGTTTGAAATGTAAGCATTGAAAGAAGTGGGCATTTAGGAGGCAAGGACGGTCTAATGACACTTTTGATTTGGACCATTCATTTTAAAATCACCCAGCTTTAAGGAATGAACTGCTCTATTGAATGCAGTTCATTTGGCAGCTCTTTAAAGCAACATAATGTAGTAATTTCATCCCAGCTTCAAAAACACTGACTTGTAATAGGGAAAACCGTGTCTCTGGCATTACCACTCCTGGACCAGAGAGCCTGGTGTTAGACAAAAAAACACCAAATCATAATGTTGCTTTGAGATCCCAGATGTCTCTTCTGTTATGGGAAGAATTAGTGAATCTATTCCAAGTAACCAAAGTGGAAGATGTTGGTGTTGCAGGCACCTGTTCTTGTAGCAACACATGTAAATAGGAGGCTCGCTGTTCTTGACATGTTCACACTCTCTGTGTTTTTGTTCTATCGGTGTAAGTTTATTCACAGCCTGTATTTCTTTGCCACCATAAGAATTTGCTGCTGAAACAGCCCAAATATCTTGATGACTACAAAAAAAAAAACATTACTTGAAGACAAAAGTCAGAGAGTACTGTTTTCCTGACTTCTCTAGAGCTCTCAGTTGTCTCAGCTCGGGGATGTTATGGTGTTAATTTCACAGGCGGTGGAAAGGGGTCCTACTGAAGCCTTTACCACGGATCTGGAAACAAAGACAGCATTCAGAAGTGCCAGCCAAAGAAACAGGCTGTAATGTAATGCTGGCCCGGGACCCAGACTCATGTTATGACCTCAAACACAACTTGTTTACTGTTGGAGGTTGGAGTTTCAGCTGCAACAAGATGAATGTGATGTGTGGAAAAGAATTAAGTTTTACAAAAATATTTTGGGGAGCAAAGCTCTGCAGGAGGATTAAGTTACAATGAAAGGTTTTTAGAGCAACATTTGCATCAAGAAGTTCCCTTGGAGGATTAGAAGATTTGATTTACCTCTATATTTTAGGCTGTCGCAGTGCAGGACAGCCACAACATTTACTTTAATTGTTCAACTGTTTGTTGTTGCCACCTCATATCTAAAATGAGTAGAAATCTTGTTTGGTATTTGTGACTTATTAAGGCTTAATTTAACTAAATTTACACAAATTATATAAAAACCCCATAGTCATCATTTGTTTCAGAAAGATTTGCACGGTTGCAGATGTTCTTTTGGTTTTCAATCAAAGCCAGTGTGATCAGGTGACCTTCTGAGTACACTAGGCTTTTGTTGCATGGAACAATGCTCATCTAATAAACGGTGCATTGTCTACCTGCTCTTGGGGTAAAATCCCTGCGGTGTAAAGGCTATTGGTCCTTTTTGCTGTGCCCAGGTGGTAGTTTGGGGCACCACTTCCTGGCATCCCCCAGATGGAGTGCTGCATGGTGTCATGGTGCTGCACATGGTAAGACATTAGTAAACATAAAAGTAATCATCAGTCTTATCACGAATGAACAGAGGTCTCTCTTTTCCAGGCATTATGAAATACAGTAAGCTTTCCCCTTGTTATAAAGTAACTAACCTTTCGTTCGTCAACAGTGTTTCTACTTCGCTCCTTTTCTATCTGCCGCTTCCTCTCCTCTATCTGCAGGCAAAGGTCTTTGTAATACTGGCTTTTTTTTTCCTAAAGAAAACATAAAATAAATGTGACACGGGAACACTGCAACAGAAAGTTTAGTGTTGTCTGGTTACTTTATGCAGAGGACAGAAGATATAGTGTGACCTCTCTGGTGATGTTAGACGGCTTCATGTTCAACCCTGGTGCTTCACCCTGTCGAGCAGCGCATAGCGAAGCTTTTCCCTGGAAGAAACTGACACTCCTCACAATCTATTTTACTCTAAGTTGATATTGTGTTTAAAATCACAGCTAAACATGGATCAACACCTCCATCTTGTGGTCATATGCATTAACTACAGTTTAAATAGGCCTTAAAAGATCATTATTGTCAACAAATCGCACTGGGTGAAAAACCAAGAATGAATGTATCCTACTAACAAGTAAAGTGTGTTCATTAGGATGAACACTGCCACTGTAGTCAATAACACATACACTGTCCTGGTGCTGGAAAACACTTACTAGAGCACCAAATATGTATTAACCCTCTGTTGAATGTAGTCCCTAAGACGTGCACTGTTTACTCATGTGTGAGTAATGTTTGCTAAAAACTGCAGCTGTGTTAGTAAATACTTTAGCCTTTTTTGAAAAGATTATACATATTTGTAACCTGTATTTAAATGTTAAATATGTAAAGATATAGTTGAGTAATGGCGTCCTGAGCAGAGAATGGCGCCACAGTTCCTCTGAGTGTGTTGTCATCCGAGCTTCTCTGCTTTTTGTTTTGGTAGCCGCTTTGGCAGCGCATTCATGGTAGCGTTTGTGAGTCCCTCACTGTGAAGCTGTAATGACTGTTTCTTTTCTCATCTAACGCCATGACTTAAGGATTTCTTTTGACCAAACCAGAGTTGGTGAACAGTGAAAAGACTAACCTTTTGGTGAGCAAGGGCGATCTCAAAGCTGTTTCTGGTTTAACAAAAAGGTCTATCTTTATTGGGATCCTTTCCATAATGTTGTCATGTTGCACTTTTAGTGGGCGTATGCTACTTTGTCCCCAAGGATTAAGTTATAGCAATTGCAGCCTGTTTCACGGCTACCTGGAAGAGGGGTAGAGCCAGAATATTTCAGTGAATTAAGGTTTAAATCGACTAAACCAGAGTTGGTGATTGTTGGAGCAGTGGAAAGACAATTTTGGAGAGTTTTATTTTGTTTCTGTCTAGTTTAAATGACGAATGATGATCGGAAAGGTATAATTAGTTTTTCATAATGGAGTCTGGTGGGCCGCAGCACTGATTTGTCTTTGTCTGACATGCTGGTGCTCTAGTGCGACATTTAGAGTCTGTTAATGTCATGTACGGATCCTTTAAAGATCCATGCGATGGGTTTGGGGCTGAGAGCCAGTGAGATTTGTTGACAATAGCACAAATTTTGCCAGCCTTTATCCTTTAAGGGAAAAAAAAGACAGCATTTGCAATGAAACATACAGCAATGGATGCATGAACAGAAGAGGTCCTTATGGGGTCAGTGCTCGTCAATCTTACAGCCCCTTCGAGTGTTAGTAACGGCAGAGGAGCTGAGGGAAAAGAATAAACAGTAAACAGTTACATTCAACTGAAATTGTATGACATATGGTGTTTTGACATTGTACCCCAGTACAATTGAGAGTAAAGTATCTAGAGCCAGTCAACAGAAGTCAACAAAAAAATTAATTGGTAACAATTTGGATGCAATACAGTCATCATTTAAGCCATTTAACAACATAACACTGGTTAAAGCCTCTTAAATGTAAGGATATGCTGATTTTCCTCTTTTATATAATTGGAAATTGGAAATTTTTTGGTGTAGGGCTGTCAGTCGAATAAAACAAGCAATTTAAAGTTGTCACCTTGGGCTGTATGACGTTTTATAGACAAAATACAGCATTACATTTCATTCATGCACTGCCAATTTTCCATTTTATTACATCATTCTTTCTATGTCACTCGCTCTTTTTTGGTGTATATTGCAATTTTAGCCTTTCTCAACAGCCTAAAAGCCACGATTTGAATCTAAATTCCTCTTTGGTGAAATATTTTTCAGATTTCTAACCTTAATAGCAATGCCCCCGAGTAAGCAGGGACTCGCATAAAATAAATCAATAAATCTGTTCTGCAACCCAGACAGTCTCCTCCGCTGAAAGAAAAAAAAAGGTTTAGGATTTCTGTGAGAGCCAGAGTTATCCATTTAGTGCCCACTGTAGTGAAGCCCACTCATAATAAGTTTTACTATCAGGCTGACTCATGTTCACTTTCAGGCCATGACAAACACACACTCTTCTCGTACAGTACTTCCCCCAGGCTTCCCATGAGTGGAGGCGTGTGCGTGGTAAGGTTGTATTGTCATTACAGCGTGATGATAACAAATTCAATGGGTCTGTATGCAGATTTAATCCCATCTCTGTTTATGTGTGTGTATACATTCTGTATTGTGTTCTTCATCATGTTATTTTTACAGTAAACAAGCCTATTTACAGCCTTTGACCTTGCCAACTCGTACTATTTCACAGGTTCACTCTTGGAAACGTTGGAAACAGCAGCTGAGAAAATTAAACTCATATCAAGGTGCTAGTTCTGCTTTCTATCATATTACATGATCTCCCTCAACAAAAAAAAAGGTCTAACAATTTCATCACAACCGGGCAAACTCCATCTGCTGATGAAGATCATGTGATATGATTAGAAGCGCAAGTAGAAATTGTACAAAGCTTGTGGTGAGTTTGTTTTCTCAAACATTTCACGGGTGTTTAAACTGTCACCAACTGTTTTGCCTATTTTACAGTATACTATATGGCCAAAAGTATGTGGACGCCCCAACATTACAAACAACTTTGATCGTTGAACATCTCAATCCAAAGCCGTGTGGGCATTAAGGCTATTAAATCCTCCGCTCTTCTGGTTTCAGGCTTTTTGCAAGATGTAGGAACCTGGCTGCAGGGATTTGTTCCCATTCAGACAAGATAGCATTAGTGAGGTCCACCACCTGATGTTGGGTGATGTGGCCCGGCTCACAGTCGGTGTTCCAGTTCATCCCAAAGGTGTTGGATAAGGTTGAAGTTAGTGGTGAAGACTGCGAAACTGTAAAGAACACGCTTCTTATAACTTCAGTGTTTGGACGTTTTCTCCAGTCAGGCACAATCAGGAAGTAGGTAATGCAGCAATACTTTTAAAGGGGAACTTTTGATTTTACACATGTATGTAATGTAGGTCCCAAATTTTGACAACAGAAGAAGAATGTACGGAATAAAAAAGACTGTTCATAGTGAATCCAACGACGTTATAGGAGTGCAATTCTAAATCAGTGGAGGCCTCTTTTAATGATGCAAACATTCTTTTGGCCACATAGTAAACATTAACTTGCTCACATCATACTTGTTTTATTGCCTTCTGAGGCCTCTAACTTACAGTAAAGATTATTTTTATACTCTCCGTGTTATCTTGTCGAGTATTGTGAAAGATCATAAACACACCATCAAACTCACAGTATGATTCAAACATTTCCAGCCCAAACGTTTGAGAGGGAATGACTGTGAACAGTGTGTGAGTGATCTCACATTGGTCCCTGAGAGAGGCCCCCTCCTTCGCATCAATCAGCTGTCTGCATGCTACCTAGGGGCAGAAACGGTGAAGATTAAGCGCAGTTACCTTCTGGAAATTGCTATAATTGAGTGATTAAGACCAATGACGTCAAATGAAAGCCCGTTTTTTACTGAATGAACATTCACTTAGCTTTTATTCACACACATCGGTATGACTGTGACTCACCAGCGTCCTGGCCTTGGGCTTTGTGCTCGGAGTCTGTATTTGTGCTGCAGCGGTCTCTGGTGAAAGACAGAGTGATGAAAGGTCTTTTTTTTTTTACACCTTGTGTAAAATCAATACAAATTGGATTATTAGATGAGTGGACCTGCCTTTGTTCTTTCCACTCTCGATGTCCGTCAGTGATGGCTCCACTTTTACATAAAGTGAATCATCACTGTGGTGATGAGCCCTGAAATAATCCGGTTCATTTACTGAGCTGCATTTCACGCTGATCATTAGTGTACTTGTGTTACTGTGTGTCACTCACACGCAGGCTTCACTGTCCTCACAAAAACACGAGGAAAGCTTGATGGACATTTGGGGTTTGGAGTCTTTCACACCCACCGTCAGTTCAACCTTCTCATTGCTGGACTCCTCACTTTTCAACTCCACGTTTTTCCTACCCTGTGGAACAATGCTAAACTGGAATTAAAGTCAGGCAACAATGTGATGACAGCAAATATTCGTGGGGAAAAGCCTATTGACACCTCAAGGTCAATGTCTCAGCAAGGCGACAAACATGAACTGTCCTGGAGGGGACACAAATACAGCAGGTACATGAAAACATAAACTGTGAGGTGAGTCAGGTTAAAGAGGTTAAACTGCATAATAACTCAGAAAGCATGAGACAATATCCAACGGCCTACTGTACAAACCACTGCTGATCCAGCTGGGCAGTGCGGATAATGTGATGGTGACCCCTGATCACACGCCATGGTCTTCCTTTAGATAGATAGATAGATAGATTTATGTTTTATGCATCAACAAATCCTATTGCATTACTACAAATAGTAGTGGGGGCAACCAGTGTACAAATTAGTACAAATTTGAGGTACATTTTGAGTGAGAAATAGGAAAATATTGTACTTACTTACTAGACTGTAATTGTTTCCCAGCTTTAGCAACTAATTACTTTACAAATTAAGATTTTTCCACACAATACACACAAAGAGCTTATATGATAATATGATGTTTTGTTATATAAAGTAAACTACCCAACTATATATATATGGTTAAGTACAGCTGAAAACGATCAGTCGATCAATCAATTAGTGGATTGACAGAAAATTAATTGGCAACTATTTTGACGATTGAGTTATTTTTAGGCCTACAAACTTTTACGTAAATACATTTTCAATGCAGGACTTTTACTTGTAACAGAGTATTTTTGAAGTGTGGCAGCCTAGTAGTACTTTTACACATATATTTATATAGGTTTAGTAACCAAATCAAATCCCTTGTATGTGTAAAAACTACTTGGCAATAAAGCTGTTTCTGATTTCTGAAAACCACTGAGGGCAACAATGGCAGTTACAGGCCTACACAGTAAATCTAACTGGTTAATTAATGCAACTTTCTTGAGTTGGTCTTTGGGGTGGAAGATGTTATTTCGTGTTTTCTGACACTCTCAAGACATTCCCGAAAATAAACATTTTATTTGAATACAGACAGATGCAATATGCCTAGATATTTTGGCTTAATAACCCAAAACACGCACAACAACACATTGCATTTAACATTATTTACCTTGGAGTGATGGAGCTGGAAAATAAAGTAGGCAGGAAACAAACTGAGGAAGAGGGAAGCAGGTGGTGAGCGGTGGCTTTAGTTTGTAAGCATTTAAAATCAGCGGAATGGAGCTGATGATGAAATTAACGTCATCGCAGGACGTCACGACGTAGAGTTCTCCCGTCACTAGGGGGCGGTGCGCAGCCGAGCGTCACCTCTGCAGACTGAGGAGAAGCTGTTTGTTTGGCTCGTGTCCTCCAACAACAAAGTGCTGTTAGTGAAACAAGACAGTGGGGACGGAAAATTTACCTAATTAAAAGTACTATTACTACACTACAAAAATACTCTGTTACAGGTAAAAGTCATTAAACAGGAATAATCAGGAAAATGTAGGATAAACTCATAATAATGTCTACTGTGACTGTTATACTATTATATTTTATTGTTAGATTATGACTCGTGTATTAAAGTAAATGTTGAATATGATTTTTAACTATTTTGTATCAGACTGCACCTAATGTAAACATTAATCAGTTGATTTTTTGTGTGTGTAAAATGTCATTAAAAATGAGAAATGCCTTCACAATTATCCAGAGTCCAAAAGTTACACGTTCACAATGCTTGTTTTGTCCAATGGATTGTAATTAATTTTTTTTGATTGATTTCTTTTGATCATCTCTGTACTTAGCTGTAGGCCTACTTGTATACACTGTTTATTTAATTTAAAAAAACATTACATTTTAAAAGCTTTTCCTTTGTTATCTATGCAAAAATATGCAAAAAGTAACTAAAGCTTTCAGATGATTGTTGTGAATTGTAGTGGAATAGAAGTATGAAGTGGCATGAAAAGAAAATATGTACCTTAAATTTGTACCTGGTTGAACTTCAAACAAACAAAAAGCCTCAAACATTTATCTTGTTGTTTTTCAGGGTTTCTTGGTCATATTCTCCCTCGTCCTTGTGTTGTAGGCCTATATGTCATTCTGTCTTTAATAAAGTTGGTTAAGACCAACCAAAGTTTGTTTTTATGTGAGTGTATATGTAGAGGATGTACATGTATCACTAAGAAGAAGTGTGATGTTTCACCTGCTCTTAATCATGTTTCGTGTTTCGTGTTAAACACAACATTAAATTTGAAGTTGAGGTGTCCGATGAAATTCCATCCTCCCAACAACATTTCCCTCTCCTTTCTTCCCTTGATGTTATTTTCTTACTTTTCTGTTTCTTTCCCAATAGTACCCTGCTGTCCTGGAGGCTAGCGGGTAGAGCATTTCCAGTAAACAATACGTGTGTGTGGATCAGTGGGGTTGTTGAGTCTTCAAAATGGCACAAGTACATTGTCTGACAGGAGCAAGGAGAGGGCTTCCGTAATTGGGGGAGATGTCATTGGGCCCCAGCAGTTAATCACAACAGTGTGAGGAGAGGATTGCAGCTGTGGGGGACTCCTCACTCGGGGAAACTAATTTCCTACAAGGCTAAAATGAGTGTTTGTGCAGGAAATTCACAACCTCCTGTCACATCCACGGGGACTGTAACTGATATCATGATGATTGTAATCAGTACTGTCTGCAGCAGAGATAATTACTGTACCTGAAGAATAAATGTGTTCTTCAGGACTGTGCCCACTTTTCCCCGTTACTTGGTGTCATTTGAGTGGGATAAGCTGTTTAGATATAATTTGGCTCATTAATATTTAATGAGCCCCGGTTGTGGAGGAGGAGCCCAGTGATTGATGACATCTCTTGTTTCAGTAACACTAATAACAACTTTGATTGACAATATTTGAAGAGTTCATCTCCAAAAATGCTGTAAGTCAGTCGAGGCCAAAGCCATTATCCAAAGTTAGTCATTCAATAACACAAAGGAGCCAAAATGGCCTCTTCCTGTCAACCGGGGAGATAAATTGCCTATTAGCCTTTGGAGTTCATGATAATTTTGTGCAATCAATCACGTTGTAAGAATAGGTGCCAAATGGAGGCTCATCTTTTTTTAGAATATAAAAGGTTATATTCACAACGAGTCCTTGTTTCTTTTTGTGAAATGTGTTATGAGTTATTACTTTGTTGTAGTTTTATTAGGACTGCAGCTGTTTTCATTGTCCATTGTCCGAAGAGAAAAACTGTTTTACAGTCATTTAACAGCCTCTCAAAGTCTCTCATTAGCTTCACATATCAATGTATTGCACTTTTCAGAATAACCAGGATTATTTGAAAATGAAGATTGTTTTAATGTGAATAGTGAATAGCAGTCAATATATAAAATATATAAATATATGCAGGATTTAAGTTCAACCAGAAGAAAGTATTAACTAGCCAGCATGATCTGTGAGTTTTTAGGTGAAACTGACAGGAACTATGAGCTCACAAAAGCTTAATAACCAATAAATAAAATACGTACAAAAATTTTAAACAACAAAGATTTACTCAAAGTAACTTTTACTCACACCAAACTAGGTCCCTAATCTTTCTGGCTTCATACAGGTCAAAAATCAACTTACCAAAGCATCAGTACCAATAAATAACATTATTTAGGGAACTTTCATTTCCCATTAAATAGAATGAGACACATCCAAACTTAGATGCTACCTTATTTTCTGGCTCGTCATAATAACACACGAGGAGGGATTACAATCCTCTTTGCCTATTAATAAGATTAATGAGATTGACCAATCAGTTTCTGTGCAAGCCTTACCTACTTATTAAACATTAGATGGGATCCTGGTGCTGCTGGGACTAATAGGGTATTGTATTATTTTTTTCAATTTTTTCCGAAAATAGTAACGAATGCTTACCACAAATAACTAGAGGCTAGTATGTCCCAACTTATCTGCATTTAATTAATAATTAATCACCCTGATTATCCAGTCTATGTAGGCCTACTAGACTTTGTTGTCATTTTAAAATCACTTCTCCCACCTACCAGTCGAGTGTTCCCACCTTCTCATGTCTTCTTCTGTGAGCCTGCAGGATAACACACATACACAAACACACACACACACGCTTACTGTTTTATTTATTTTATTTTTAATATATTTTATTTTTTAACAAACACACACACACACACACACACACACACAAACAACACACACACTTACTGTTTTATTTATTTTATTTTTAATATATTTTCATTTTTTAACACACACACACACGCTTACTGTTTTGTTTATTTAATTTTATTTAAATTTTTTATATTTCTTTTTTTCTTATTTTTTTTAAACACAAACACACATACACTTTGATTACTTTACCCTTTAATTGTTTAATGAAATGTATGGGGCTGATTGTTCTTATGTTGTGTATACATGATGCTTTGGAAATGTTGTTATTACATTCATGCCAATAAAGCTAATTTGAATTGAATTGAATTGAATTGATCCTTTTTGGTTTAGTTTGCCTCCTTTGACTTCATACATGTTGCCCATTCTGCCTACTGACTTAGTGAAGCCTGCTTTTATCCTACAACTCATGTCTGCTGAGGATACATGTGGGTCTCTCAATCCAGAGTTGTTACACCAGGTGACATCTTAAGTTTTTGACCAGCTGTCCAAAACCAAAAGATATTCAATTAATGATGAATGAAAGCTTCTGAGACACTGGACAGGCGTGAGTGTGTTCTACCACTACATATCTAACTGAGAGTGTTTCCCCAACCAGTGCCGCTGGGGTATTTTTTTCCGAGAACTTTTAGAGACCTGAGAGGAGATTTACAAGTAAATGCTTTATTTTATTTTTTTTATTGGCTGATCGGCATATTTATTTATGTAATATATTAAAATGATTGAAAGGATTAAGCATTTTGTTCCTGGCATTGTGGAAAAGGCTTTGAAAAATGCTTATATCCTGCTGGGAAGAATAACTATGAGAATAGTGAAAATATGAAACAGTATTGTAGTTCAATATTTCAAATATTATGGCTACAGTCAACCTTAACTGTAACAATGGGGACCTGTTGTATTTTATTTAAATATCACATTAGGAAGAAACTGATCCTCTGGAATAATCCTTTACGCCTTTTCGGTGTTGAATAAAAGGTGTAAATGTCTATTCAATCTTGAATGAAGTAAATCAAAGGCATGTTGATGGACGTTTTCACATGACGTTTGGTTGTCAGTCCTCTAGAGATGTGTCAGTAGGTGTTAAGAGCTGATCTACCTACATAACAGAGCAGCAGAGTGATGTGAATTTCAAGGTTTTGATGAGCTTTGTTTCCAGTTGTTTGTCTCTGTAGCAGTCACACCAGGGCATGTTTTGATGGTGGGCAAAGAATTACTCACTGGAGGACCTATTCATTATACACACTCATGCGTGCGTAAGTAATTGTACTATGAGTGTGTACCTGGATGCTGAATTGCAAGTATACACGTGTTAATGTGTGTTGTGGATCATCTGCTAGCCCTCCAGTTGTGGAGGTGGAAGTGGTGGTGTAGGAGCGCAACGGAGGCTCTCTATGAGTCATGGATGCTCGCATCACCAGGGGCTCGTCGTGTAGCTATGAAGCCACCATTGAGGCCGGGAAAACTGTGTAGGAGTCCAGACCTGAGTGTGGCCTCATGACGATGGAGGAACAGGACCTTGTGGGTGGCTATCTGCCTACTGGCTGAGGTCTCCACCATGTCAAACATTACAAGACGAGTTGCTTCAACACATCAAGCATCACAGGAGGCTGAGCTTTCTCTAAATCAGGAAAACATGTAAACCAACTCTGCTTGTGCAAGAGTGATAACTTAAAGGGTCAGTTCAGAAAATAAGGTTTCCACAGTCTTCTTCAACAAAATGCCTCAGGTGCCATAACATGATTTAAGTTGGGAACTTCGGTCATGTAACAACAGGAAAGATGGTATTAGATGTAATTGGCCTGTTTGATTGTAATTTACGTCATTGACTTAGACCTCTTCCCAGCCGATGCCGTGACCCGTTTTGGTCTGGTGTTGCAACATATTCTCACTCCCAACTCGTCACACATTGACGCTCAGTCAACTCCCCTTGGTGCCGCTGTTTAAAGCCCTTTATAGTTGTTTTTGCATGTGTGGGGTCCCTGCGATGGATTGGCGTCCAGTGTGTCGACCGATGTCAGCTGGGACGGGCTCCAGTCCCCC